ATGCTCCAACTAACAATGGTGTATGCTCCAATTAACAATGGTGTATGCTCCAAGTAACAATGTTGTATGCTCCAAGTTACAGTGGTGTATGCTCCAAGTAACAATGGTGTATGCTCCAAGTAACAATGGTGTATGCTCCTAGTTACAGTGGTGTATGCTCCATGTAACAGTGGTGTATGATCCATGTAACAATGGTGTATGCTCCATGTAACAATGGTGTATGCTCCAAGTAACAATGGTGTATGCTCCAAGTAACAATGGTGTATGCTCCATGTAACAATGGTGTATGCTCCAAGTAACAATGGTGTATGCTCCAAGTTACAGTGGTGTATGCTCCATGTAACAATGGTGTATGCTCCAAGTAACAATGGTGTATGCTCCAAGTAACAATGGTGTATGCTCCAAGTAACAATGGTGTATGCTCCAAGTTACAGTGGTGTATGCTCCAAGTAACAATGGTGTATGCTCCAATTAACAATGGTGTATGCTCCAAGTAACAATGGTGTATGCCCCATGTAACAGTGGTGTATGATCCAAGTAACAATGGTGTATGCTCCAAGTTACAGTGGTGTATGCTCCATGTAACAATGGTGTATGCTCCAAGTAACAATGGTGTATGTTCGAAATAACAATGGTGTATGCCCCATGTAACAGTGGTGTATGATCCAAGTAACAATGGTGTATGCTCCAAGTTACAGTGGTGTATGCTCCATGTAACAATGGTGTATCCTCCATGTAACAACGGTGTATGCTCCAAGTAACAATGGTGTATGCTCCAAGTAACAATGGTGTATGCTCCATGTAACAATGGTGTATGCTCCAAGTTACAGTGGTGTATGCTCCATGTAACAATGGTGTATCCTCCATGTAACAATGGTGTATGCTCCAAGTAACAATGGTGTATGCTCCATGTAACAATGGTGTATCCTCCATGTAACAATGGTGTATCCTCCATGTAACAATGGTGTATGCTCCAAGTAACAATGGTGTATGCTCCAAGTAACAATGGTGTATCCTCCATGTAACAATGGTGTATGCTCCAAGTAACAATGGTGTATGCTCCAAGTAACAATGGTGTATGCTCCTAGTTACAGTGGTGTATGCTCCATGTAACAATGGTGTATGATCCATGTAACAATGGTGTATGCTCCATGTAACAATGGTGTATGCTCCAAGTAACAATGGTGTATGCTCCAAGTAACAATGGTGTATGCTCCATGTAACAATGGTGTATGCTCCAAGTAACAATGGTGTATGCTCCAAGTTACAGTGGTGTATGCTCCATGTAACAATGGTGTATGCTCCAAGTAACAATGGTGTATGCTCCAAGTAACAATGGTGTATGCTCCAAGTAACAATGGTGTATGCTCCAAGTTACAGTGGTGTATGCTCCAAGTAACAATGGTGTATGCTCCAATTAACAATGGTGTATGCTCCAAGTAACAATGGTGTATGCCCCATGTAACAGTGGTGTATGATCCAAGTAACAATGGTGTATGCTCCAAGTTACAGTGGTGTATGCTCCATGTAACAATGGTGTATGCTCCAAGTAACAATGGTGTATGTTCGAAATAACAATGGTGTATGCCCCATGTAACAGTGGTGTATGATCCAAGTAACAATGGTGTATGCTCCAAGTTACAGTGGTGTATGCTCCATGTAACAATGGTGTATCCTCCATGTAACAACGGTGTATGCTCCAAGTAACAATGGTGTATGCTCCAAGTAACAATGGTGTATGCTCCATGTAACAATGGTGTATGCTCCAAGTTACAGTGGTGTATGCTCCATGTAACAATGGTGTATCCTCCATGTAACAATGGTGTATGCTCCAAGTAACAATGGTGTATGCTCCATGTAACAATGGTGTATCCTCCATGTAACAATGGTGTATCCTCCATGTAACAATGGTGTATGCTCCAAGTAACAATGGTGTATGCTCCAAGTAACAATGGTGTATCCTCCATGTAACAATGGTGTATGCTCCAAGTTACAGTGGTGTATGCTCCATGTAACAATGGTGTATCCTCCATGTAACAATGGTGTATGCTCCAAGTAACAATGGTGTATGCTCCATGTAACAATGGTGTATCCTCCATGTAACAATGGTGTATCCTCCATGTAACAATGGTGTATGCTCCAAGTAACAATGGTGTATGCTCCAAGTAACAATGGTGTATCCTCCATGTAACAATGGTGTATGCTCCAAGTAACAATGGTGTATCCTCCATGTAACAATGGTGTATGCTCCATGTAACAATGGTGTATGCTCCATGTAACAATGGTGTATGCTCCATGTAACAATGGTGTATGCTCCATCACTGACATATGACAGTGATGTTCGCTTCAGATAAGGTGTTCTTGTCAATACCATGGAGAGACTAGGTCATATACACTGATCAGGGACAAGGTGTTCTTGTCAACACCATGCAGACACTAGGTCAAATACACTGATCAGAGACAAGGTGTTCTTGTCAACACCATGGAGACAGTAGGTCATATACATTAATCAGATAAAAGGTGTTCTTGTCAACACCATGGAGACACTAGGTCATATACACTGATCAGGGACAAGGTGTTCTTGTCAACACCATGGAGACACTAGGTCAAATACACTGATCAGAGACAAGGTGTTCTTGTCAACACCATGGAGACAGTAGGTCATATACATTGATCAGATAAAAGATGTTCTTGTCAACACCATGGAGACACTAGGCCATATACATTGATCAGAGACAATGTGTTCTTGTCAACACCATGGAGACACTAGGTCATATACATTGATCAGAGACAAGGTGTTCTAGTCAACACCATGGAGACACTATATCATATACACTGATCAGGGACAATGTGTTCTTGTCAACACCATGCAGACACTAGGTCAAATACACTGATCAGAGACAAGGTGTTATTGTCAATACCATGGAGACACTTGGTCAAATACACTGATCAGAGACAAGGTGTTATTGTCAACACCATGGAGAGACTATATCATATACACTGATCAGGGACAAGGTGTTCTTGTCAACACCATGGAGACACTAGGTCATATACACTGATCAGAGACAATGTGTTATTGTCAACACCATGGAGAGACTATATCATATACACTGATCAGAGACAAGGTGTTCTTGTCAACACCATGGAGAGACTATATCATATACATTGATCAGACACAAGGTGTTCTTGCCAACACCATGGAGACACTAGGTCAAATACACTGATCAGAGACAAGGTTTTCTTGTCAGCACCATGGAAACACTAGGTCATGTACACTGATCAGACACAAGGTGTTCTAGTCAACACCATGGAGACACTCGGACGCTCTATACACAGATCAGAGACAAGGTGTTCTAGTCAACACCATGGAGACACTCAGCCGCATACACAGATCAGAAACAAGGTGTTCTAGTCAACACCATGGAGACACTTGGCCGCATACACAGATCAGACACAAGGTGCTCTAGTCAACACCACGGAGACACTAGGCCGTATACACTGATCAGAGACAAGGTGTTCTTGTCAACACCATGGAGACACTAGGTCATATATACTGTTCGGAGACAAGGTGTTGTCGTCAGCACCATGGGATCACTAGGTCATTAATACTGCCTCAGATACTCTGATCAGGGACAAGGTATTCCAAAGACTTCATCTTCTTTTGAGATCCATTGTTTTGCCTTCAGGCACTTCAAAATGTCACTTGAAGACACCCCATCATATCATTCTGGACATTTTAGAACTTTACAACGATCTTTCTACTGGCCAATGTGCAATCGTCCTTTGATGGTTACCAGGTCACGTAGGCATAGCAGGTAACACAAAAGCCAATGCTGCAGCTAAACCACCCCTCGACAAACCGTCACGTGGAGACACTGGTTCATACACAAAAATGAGCTGAGAAGAATACTAAGAATTGAATATACATTCTTGTTCCTTTATTTACAAAAAATATGTTGACCCACATCATATGTTACAAAGTTTAAAAGTTTAAAAGTGGTCTGTAAATAATAGCATCGATATGCAATGGGGAACCAATGACATGTGCCAACCAAGCCAGCCAGCCTGACCCCCCCATCCCGTTAGTCGCCTCTTACAACAAGCATACTGAAGGTCAATTTTAAACACGGACCTTCCCAGGTCACATTTTTGTGCAGAAAAATACATTGAACCATGCAAATGTAATAAAATGCACTTTACAATGTAAATGTTTAAATATTTATGAAATGCTTTAAAAGTTTGACCACCATTTAAAATGTTTGTGTAAACCACCATGACAAAATATCTAAACTCATTTAAAAAAGTTCCTGTATACCAAGAATGACTGCTGCCATTGAAGAATAATACATTGCAAACACAAATCAAATCATGAACAGATGGAGCGTCTAACATCACGGTTAGAAGTGGCTGACTTCCATGTTGTGAATGAAACTGTCGCTGCTGTTGTTGGGAGCGTCTGACATCGCTGCTGTTGTTGGGAGTGTCTGACATTGCTGCTGTTGTTGGGAGAGTCTGACATAGCTGCTGGTTGTGGGAGCTTCTGACATCGCTGTTGTTGGTGGGAGTGTCTGACATCGCTGCTGTTGGTGATAGTGTCTGACATCGCTGCTGTTGGTGGGAGAGTCTGACATCGCTGTTGTTGGTGATAGTGTCTGACATCGCTGCTGTTGGTGGGAGAGTCTGACATCGCTGTTGTTGGGAGAGTCTGACATCGCTGTTGTTGGTGGGAGAGTCTGACATCGCTGCTGTTGGTGGGAGAGTCTGACATCACGGTTGTTAGCGGGAGAGTCTGACATCACTGTTGTTAGCGGGAGAGTCTGACATCGCTGTTGTTAGCGGGAGAGTCTGACATCGCTGTTGTTAGCGGGAGAGTCTGACATCGCTGTTGTTAGCGGGAGAGTCTGACATCGCTGTTGTTAGCGGGAGAGTCTGACATCACTGTTGTTAGCGGGAGAGTCTGACATCTCTGTTGTTAGCGGGAGAGTCTGACATCACTGTTGTTAGCGGGAGAGTCTGACATTGCTGCTGTTGGTGGGAGTGTCTGACATCGCTGCTGTTGTTGGGAGCGTCTGACATTGCTGCTGTTGGTGGGAGTGTCTGACATAGCTGCTGGTTGTGGGAGCGTCTGACATCGCTGCTGTTGGTGGGAGTGTCTGACATCGCTGTTGTTGGTGGGAGAGTCTGACATCGCTGTTGTTGGTGATAGTGTCTGACATCGCTGCTGTTGTTGGGAGTGTCTGACATCGCTGCTGTTGTTGGGAGTGTCTGACATCGCTGCTGTTGTTGGGAGTGTCTGACATCGCTGCTGGTGGTGGGAGTGTCTGACATCGCTGCTGTTGTTGGGAGTGTCTGACATTGCTGCTGTTGGTGGGAGTGTCTGACATCGCTGCTGTTGGTGATAGTGTCTGACATCGCTGCTGTTGGTGGGAGAGTCTGACATAGCTGCTGGTTGTGGGAGCTTCTGACATCGCTGTTGTTGGTGGGAGTGTCTGACATCGCTGCTGTTGGTGATAGTGTCTGACATCGCTGCTGTTGGTGGGAGAGTCTGACATCGCTGTTGTTGGTGATAGTGTCTGACATCGCTGCTGTTGGTGGGAGAGTCTGACATCGCTGTTGTTAGCGGGAGAGTCTGACATCACGGTTGTTAGCGGAAGAGTCTGACATCACTGTTGTTAGCGGGAGAGTCTGACATCGCTGTTGTTAGCGGGAGAGTCTGACATCGCTGTTGTTAGCGGGAGCTTCTGACATCGCTGTTGTTGGTGGGAGTGTCTGACATCGCTGCTGTTGGTGATAGTGTCTGACATCGCTGTTGTTGGTGGGAGAGTCTGACATCGCTGTTGTTGGTGATAGTGTCTGACATCGCTGCTGTTGGTGGGAGAGTCTGACATCGCTGTTGTTAGCGGGAGAGTCTGACATCGCTGTTGTTAGCGGGAGAGTCTGACATCGCTGTTGTTAGCGGGAGAGTCTGACATCGCTGTTGTTAGCGGGAGAGTCTGACATCACTGTTGTTAGCGGGAGAGTTTGACATCTCTGTTGTTAGCGGGAGAGTCTGACATCACTGTTGTTAGTGGGAAAGTCTGACATCACTGTTGTTAGCGGGAGAGTCTGACATCACTGTTGTTAGCGGGAGAGTCTGACATCACTGTTGTTAGCGGGAGAGTTTGACATCTCTGTTGTTAGCGGGAGAGTCTGACATCACTGTTGTTAGTGGGAGAGTCTGACATCACTGTTGTTAGCGGGAGAGTCTGACATCACTGTTGTTAGCGGGAGAGTCTGACATCACTGTTGTTAGCGGGAGAGTCTGACATCTCTGTTGTTAGCGGGAGAGTCTGACATCACTGTTGTTAGCGGGGAGAGTCTGACATCACTGTTGTTAGCGGAGAGTCTGACATCTCTGTTGTTAGCGGGAGAGTCTGACATCTCTGTTGTTAGCGGAGAGTCTGAGATCGCTGTTGTTGGCGGGAGAGTCTGACATCACTGTTGTTAGCGGGAGAGTCTGACATCACTGTTGTTAGCGGGAGAGTCTGACATCACTGTTGTTAGCGGGAGAGTCTGACATCTCTGTTGTTAGCGGGAGAGTCTGACATCACTGTTGTTAGCGGGAGAGTCTGACATCACTGTTGTTAGCGGGAGAGTCTGACATCTCTGTTGTTAGCGGGAGAGTCTGACATCTCTGTTGTTAGCGGGAGAGTCTGACATCGCTGTTGTTGGCGGGAGAGTCTGACATCACTGTTGTTAGCGGGAGAGTCTGACATCACTGTTGTTAGCGGGAGAGTCTGACATCACTGTTGTTAGCGGGAGAGTCTGACATTATGTGCCTCTCAGCAGAAGTCATGGCACTGACACACAATTAAGGCTTGCACTCCCATCTTATCTTGTAACGTGTGACATCACTTTTCCAAATGGGTGAGTCTATTGTCATGTGTCTCCCAAAAGCAGTCGAGGTAGTGACACACAGCACAGCTTGCCCTCCAGGAACTCCCATCTGCCAGACTGGGTCTGAAACAGGATGTTTTTGGTTTGTAGTTTAACTCCGCCTCCAGCAAAACTCCAGCTATTTGGTGTCAGTCAGTAAATAATCAAGTATGCACTACAGAAATTCCACCCATCCCACAGATATGCAAAATTCTTGGTTAGGAATGGCCTCTGGAAACCGATGACACCAGGGGAAGGGGAGAAATAACAAGGTTAGGACATTTGACCAGTTTCTAAATGGCATTGTGTATACACAGTTTTCCGCCATGAGATCTGTGCCTATTTACACATATCAGTGGGGTACACCAAGTCTGTGGTCTAGACTACCAGTGGTCTGACTTGCATTTTGTGAAAGCAGCAGCGGCTTTGTGTGCTGGCGATTAGGTGCCTGACTCTGAGGGTGTGGGTTCGAATCCCAGATGGGACTCAACCTAACATAAGTACTAGAATCTCTACTTTACTGAGAAAGTGTAATCCCAAATATAACTTGTGTTACATCAAGCAGTTGTGTGTGTATGTCTAAGAGCGTATGTCTGTCAGTGTGAGTGAGTCTCTGTCTCTGTGTGTGTGAGTGTATGTCTCTGTGTGGGTGTATGTTTGTGTGTGTCTGGGTGTCAGTCTGTGTCTATGTGTGTGTGTGTGTGTGTGTCTGTGAGTGTGTTAGTCTGTGTGTGTGTCAGTCTGTGTGAGTATGTTTGTGGTGTTGCTGTGTGTCAGTCTGTGTCTGTGTGTGAGAAAGAGTGTGTGTTAGTCTCTGTGTGTGTGTCAGTGTGTGTGTGTCAGTCTGTGTGTGTATGTGTTTGTGGTGTTGCTGTGTGTGTGTGTCTGACTGTGCATCAGTGCGCATGTGTGCATGACCTCAACACACTGATCGGCGTAATACCTGGTTACAATAGGTCCCTACAACCCTATGCTAGCCATACAAGGAAACCTGCTGGACCGTGTACTCAGGACCCTTGTTTCATATACAATCAACTTCAGATTTACTATGTTCACATGAGAGTCAAACCTTTTCAGCCGGTGTGAAGTTTCCCTTAAGGAAGGTGACCTTCCCATCCCTGACCGCGAGGCCTCGGTCTCGGCACTCCGACTCTGCTTCCGCCTCTGTGTCCCACCCCAGCAGCTGGCTGAGTCGACTCACAGGGAAACTGGAGTTCTTGCTGCTGTACGCCGCGCACATCACCCGCAGACCGTACCTGTTTGAGGCACATCATCATCATCATCATCATCATCACCATCATCATCATCACACCACCATCATTCTTACATCATCATCATCATCATCATCATCATCACACCACCATCATTCTTACATCATCATCATCATCATCATCACCACACCACCATCATTCTTACATCATCATCACCACACCACCATCATTCTTACATCATCATCATCATCATCATCATCATCATCATCTTCATCACCGTCATCATCATCACACCACCATCATAGGGGTGGTGGGGTAGCCTAGTGGTTAAAGCGTTTGCTCGTCACGCCGAAGACTTGGGTTTGATTCCCAACATGGGTACAATATGAGAAGTCCATTTCTGGTGTCCCCCGATGTCATATTGCTGGAATATTGCTAAAAGCAGCTTAAAACTATACTCACTCACTCACTCACACCACTATTACTCTAACATCATCATCATGAACACACCATCATTCTTACAGCATCATCATCATCATCACTCCACATCACATCGTCCTCATCATCACCACCACCATCATCATCATGAACACACCATCATTCTTACAGCATCATCATCATCATCACTCCACATCACATCGTCCTCATCATCATCACCACCACCATCATCATCATGAACACACCATCATTCTTACAGCATCATCATCATCATCATCATCACTCCACATCACATCGTCCTCATCATCACCACCACCATCATCATCATGAACACACCATCATTCTTACAGCATCATCATCATCATCACTCCACATCACATCGTCCTCATCATCATCATCACCACCACCATCATCATCATGAACAGGGGCGGTGGGGCAGCCTAATGGTTAAAGCGTTGGCTCGTCACGCCGACGACCCGGGTTCGAATCCCCACATGGGTACAATGTGTGAAGCCTATTTCTGGTGTCCCCCGCCGTGATGTTGCTGGAATATTGCTAAAAGCGGCGTAAAACCAAACTCAGTCAGTCAGTCAGTCATCATGAACACACCATCATTCTTACATCATCATCACCACCACCATCATCATCACTCCACATTACATCGTCCTCATCATCATCATTATTGTTTTTTAGTGTTGACGAAACAGGAAATTCAGAGTATTCATTGACATTGAGGAATACCATTATGCAATTTATTACACATATATTTGTCTGATGGTGAAACATGTCAAAACTGTAATGAAAACAACCCATTTCTCAGTGTTCCTGACGTAGTCATGTATGTTGGACACAATCACAGTTCTACTAGGAAGTGGGATGGTGTATGTCAGTCAACCAAGGAAAGATGCCACTAAGCTACGACTGCATCAAACCCATGTACTAGGGCTGGGACGATTCACCGATGTATCGCGATACATTTAAGTTTGATACAGCTATCGTATAGTCGACTGCTGTATCGATACAAAACGTATTATATTAAACATGTTACAGTACATATTTAGAGAAAAAATACGCAAGTATGATGGAGTTACTTGTTTGTTTATTACAATAGTGTTATTGTCAAACACAAATACCTTGAAATAAATCATTTTAAATCTTGTTACCATGTCATTCTTTCAGGTGTATGTATCGTGATAAGTATCGTATCGCAGGTAAAATATCGCATGTATCATATCGTGACGTAGTGTATCGTCCCAGCCCTTACATGTACAGTGTGTTGAGAAGAACAAACAGCTCAAAAAGCGTTCTGGCTGGCTGGCTGGTTGTTGTTTAATGCTGCACTCAGCAATATTCCAGCTATATGATTGAGCTGTTTGGTTGAAGGGATGGGTATTAGGTTAATTGATTTTTACATACTTGCTGAAATGTTCATATGAGTAAGTGAGTGAGTTTAGTTTTGGCCCCTCTTAGTAATATTCCAGCAATATAATAGTGGGGGGCACCAGAAATGGGCTCACATATTGTACCCATGTGGGGAATCTAACCCGAGTCTTCAGCATGGCAAGCAAATGCTTTAACCACTAGGCTACCACACCGCCCATTTGGTTGAAGAGTTAAGGGAAGTGTAATAGAGTACTTGATTTTATACATATGAATATCATTAAATATAATTTTGGGTTTAACATTCTAAAATTTTAGTTTGGAAATGAAAAAAAAATAATAATAACTCAAGTCTAGTAATACTAAGTGAAAACAGTTATTTCTGTGTGTAAAAAAGTAGGATTTCCTGGTTTCCTTATTGTAAAATGATATGTAATTCTACAGGTTCTTCCATTTTATTATTGGAAGGTAAAACGGGATGTAGCGTTTGTGCTATTTGTGCGTTTGTTGATATTTTGTGAAATGATCCGCATTCCACATTTCGCATTTTGTAATGATGCATGTGCAGTGACCTGTATCCGGTTGTGACATAAAACTGAGAGTAGAGTGTGAACTACAAAAGTGTCCGGTTGTGTCTCTGGGTTCACAGAAACTTAAATGGGTATTCTACAACATACTTTCTGAAATGTTCATACATAGGTACACTCACGCCTGTATGTTGGCAAGATGGCGGTGAAGGACACACAGAGACAGGACGCTGGGAAGCCGAGTGGCGAGACGGAGGACTCGGAGCGTGTTGCCGAGCAGGTAACTGATGCTGATCTGGTAGGCAACATGAGGTAGTGTTTGGCATCTGGGGAAAATATGGAAACAGTAAATAATACCATGCATATTGTAATCACTAACTCAAGACTAGAGCATCCTCTCTTTTTGTCTTCAACAAATATGCCCCTACTCTTGAGACATGTGGAGATCAGGGTTAGAAATAATTTTCTCATGACCACTCAGCGGTCATCTAGTTCCCAGTAAGCTTTTATGCTAAAGCATGTATTGTTGTCAACAAATCTTAGCTTACATTTGAAAAATAACAACAAATTCATGTGGAACTTCAGAAACCTTCAATTAACCTTTTGAACAACCAAATACACTTTAATGTTAGCGTGACACTGTGTACCGTTCTCTCGCTAACACTGACAGTTGGTGGGGGAACTGATGTTGGTGTCTTCGTAAGCCTATGAGTTTCTATCTTCGCTTTGTAATCTACTCCATCTATCAAAACCAGGCATGAATTTTCTGGGATCAAAGCACTGACAGTAGCGTAACCACGGCCGTTAATCCGGACACGACCGCCGACCCTTGACGCCATGTTTGTTTACACTGTGAAAGTAGTCCCTGAAATTTGCATATAACCTCTCTAATTTGCATCGATATCCGAATATCTCACACAGCGGGAATATTGATGAGATGTGTTAACTAACACCTACCTTAACGACTTGGGAAGCTGCAGGAAATGTCTGAGAGCATCTGCATCACCAAGGTTATACAGCAGATAGACACTCTCAAACTCTGCCTGTCTCAGGTGGGGCCTGTCCGTTTGTGAGTCTGTGTGTCTGTTTCGTGGCTCAGTGTCCGATAAACTACACAATCTCAGATCATCCTCCAAGTGACTCTGATCATATGACCTGTTGCCTGTGTGTCTGTTGCCTGTGTGTCTGTTGTCTGTGTGTCTGATGTCCGTGTGTCTGCTGTCTGTGGATCTGTTGTCTGTAGATATGTTGTCTGTAGATATTCTGTCTGTGTGTCTGTTGTCTGTAGATCTGGTGTCTGTGGATCTGTTGTCTGAGTGTCTGCTGTCTGTGGATCTGTAGTCTGTGGATCTGTAGTCTGTGTGTCTGATGTCTGTGGATCTACTGTCTGTTGGACTACAATCAGACTGTTGGCACACTCTCTGATCAGACACTGGACAGTCATGTGCTTTTGTCTCACTGCTTCTATCTGAATCTATGGCTTGACGTCTGCCTGAATGTCTGCCACTTCTCTGATGAGTGTCTGAACAGTGTCTGGTTTCCACATCCTCCATCTGTCCAACGTCTGTGTGTGAGTACAGATACAGCAGCCTCTTCAGACACTCCTGTGTATGTTGAGAATTGATCACAGGGTCGTATGTGGCAAGCCCATGTGTACACAACCTGCAACAAACATCCTCTGGAAACTTTTTCCAAGGAAATATACACAAAGAACTTACAGCTTGTTCAGCTTGACCTGACCAAGTGAATACTAATGCGTTGCGTGACCGTGTCACAATTTGTTGGGTCCTTTATTGAGAAGGGGTGCACATTTGTCAGTTCATTGTCAACAGCCGAGACAAGGTCGCCGTTTGACATCTCAGTGTTGAGAAATCGTCAGCAATGTCCTAACTTTCTTTAAAAAGGAAGCTAGAGATGGTTTAATGTTTCCGATTCGGGCTCTTAGCAGTGTAGGAAAGATAGCCCGTCCCAAAGTCCGAGACAGATGAATGTTGTGGAGGACGGGTTAAAAAAATATCTAGTCCGTCTCCTGTCGGGTCAATTTTAGCAAACCAATGATATATATATAATGATTATAACCTTTTTGAATATTTACTGCCAAAGGTGTTTTATTTATATTTGGAGGACAGGCTAGATTTTGGCAGGACTGGTAAAAAATTTGACCTGCCATCCTGTGGACAGGCTAGATTTTCTACATCTTTCCTACACTGCTCTTAGGCATTAATAACATTCTCTGCTCCCCTTTTTAATGAAGTTAACTTGACCTGCCGTTTGTGCCTTTTGACCTCCCGGGTCATGCATATGTAGAGTAGCTCAAGTCAAGCCGAACAAGCTGTAGTTAAGCACCCCCTGACACATCTCATGATTGAATGACCCCCGATCTTAACCCTTTAGAGCATAACACTGACACATCTCACGATTGAATGACCCCCCCATCTTAACCTTTTAGAGCATATCTGGGACATGACTGGTCATGATGTGTAACAAAGGGATCCTCCTGTACAGAACCTGGCCCAATTGGAAGCTGCTTTACACGAGGAATGACGTAGACGGCCCTTCCGAGGATCAGGAGGCTGACAGGGGGTATGAGGAGGAGCGTGCTGGCTGTCATACAGTCACATGGAGGTTACACTCAGTATTAATAATACAATAATAATACACAAGATCTGTATAGCGCCTTATTTGCTTTTTTAAAAAACACTCAAAGGCTTATTGACCTTGAATCGTGTAAGACACGCAAAATGACATTTTGAATGTTCACATTCACCAATAAATTCAACATTGAACATTCAAGGGCCATATTTGTACAGACATGGTTTTGTATGAAAATCAGTGTTTTTTTCATAATGAGCAATTATCATCATAAAATCAACATAGAATCCAATAATTTTCTGTTTTGATGATAATACGGTTCAGAAAAACTCACCGTATTCACCACAAGAATCTTTATGAACACGTTGAAAACCTATCACTGCAAAACTACAGGGGTGACATAACAACATATGGTATGGATTTACAACTTCTTTAATATTTACAACACAATGTTTCTGAGAAACTTCTGATGAAGCGGCAAGAAGTAGCCCAGAAACGTTGTGTTGTAAATACTAAAGAAGTTGTAAATCCATACCACATGTTGTCATGTTACCTTCCAACTTCTAAATGTCCATCAAGCATCTAATACAGGGTAGCTTAATTAAGTTTGTTGTGTATACTTCAACAGGAAGTTTCTGAAATATACTCATGGAAACAAATAAGGGAACACCTGAAAGTACAAGTGCTCCTTTATTCTCTTCCAGGTTTCTTCACAAGGTGTGTATTGCACTGTGGGTGAAATTCTGGAAATAAATAAAGGAACACTTGTACTTTCATGTGTTCCCTTATTTGTTTCCATGAGTATACTTTGGGGGTATCTAAGGGGCAGTAGGTAAGCCAAGCGGTTAAAGCGCCATGCGAAAGACATAGGTTCGATTCCCCACATGGGTACAATTTGTGAAGCCAAGTTCCAGTGTTCCCGACTGTGATATTGCTGGAATATTGCTGGAATATTGCTGACAGCGATGTAAAACTAAACTCACTCATGCACTGAAAGATTTTATCAGGGTTAGAATTGATCTTCAGTAACACATGCTTGTCGTGAGAGGCGACTAACAAGATCAGGTAGTCAGGCTCGCTGGCTTGGTCGACACATGTCATCGTATCCCAATGGCGTAGATCAGGGCTAATACTAGATTGTGTGGTTGATGCTGGATTAATTACAGACTGGAATATAGCCGGAATATTGCTGAATATGGCAACTAAAGGACGCAACTCTTCAGAACATGCATCATGAGATTCTACTGTAGACCACCCACTTATCTGCTCATGTGATTTTTTTTTACCCTGCAAATTATTTGATCATGAAACATGAGCCATTTACACAAGCACAACTAACATAGCTTGCAAACTTCCATTTTGTAAGAAGGAAAATATCCGGGCTCTAAATTCCCCTAAGGGAGACAACTCTGCAGAGGGCACACCACCCACCTGTATGCAGCATACACATGGAAGCTCACACAGGCCTCCAGGATGGTGATGGCGTCCTGGCCTCGGACATCTTGGATGACCATATCTTGTCGCACGGCTCTCAGACGGTCAAACACGAAGTCATACACCTGGTTCCAGCCGGGCTCCTGTGTGTGGTGCAGGGAAATGATACTGAAATATCAAACAGAAGATAAATACTGTGCGACACATCAGGAGAAGACCAAAGGAAGTCCAGGGGAGGATCAGGGGAAGTCCAAGGGAAGTCCTGGGGAGACCAGGTGAAGTCCAGGGGAGGACCAGGGGAAGTCCAGGTAAAGTCCGGGGGGGACCAGGTGAAGTCCAGGGGAGGACCAGGTGATGTCCAGGGGAGGACCAGGTGATGTCCAGGGAAGGACCAGGGGAAGTCCAGGGGAGGACCAGGGGAAGTCCAGGGGAGGACCAGGGGAAGTCCAGGGAAGGACCAGGGGAAGTCCAGGGGAGGACCAGGGGAAGTCCTGTCATCTGTACATATTTAGAAAAAAAACAATATAATGAGAATGGGTATGAATGAAAAAAGAGAAAAATGAGCTGTGGTTTCGGGGCCGCAGGTTTAGATGATTCACAAGAATGACCTCAGCGTGAACAAATCTGCGGAATTCGACAGATCTGCGAAAAATTCTCATCCGGGTTTATGGATCCTTTTGACAATCCACAGTTTGAATGTTTGGAAATTTTGGAGTATCAATAACATCTGTTATTCCCTGCATGGGTCATCATCTCCCTTAACTTATTACATTCATATTAGCTTTTGTGGTAAACAAGAAGGCTAGATTTAGCCAAAATAGTTTAGTTTTCCTTTAAATACACAATTGCGTCACTACCTGATAGAACTACTACATCAATGTGCCAACTCACTTGCTGAACAGGAAGTTGATTGTCTGGTGAAGAATTCTGGGAGGTCGTAGAGCAGAAGGATCAGGGTCAGCGCGACCTGCAGCAGGACGTGAATATTCCTTCACAGCAGTGCTGAGGTCACCTTGAAGTCTGTTGATATTAGGGACCATTCATCATTTATGGCTAGGGTTGATGATGATAATTTTTATGGAGAAGCATGTACAATGTGAATGAAACCCCCACCACCCTATAATTTATGTACAAAGTAAGCCACCTCCCTGCATGTCACGTACAAAATCAATCCCCCCCCCCTCACCACCCCCCCTTCCAATAATGTTTCAATAATTTCATGTACAAAAATGCTGACATCCCTAATTCATGTGTTTAATGTTGATGACCACCCCCCTCTCCCCCACCCCCAGGACCAAATGGATGACCTCCCTTTAAAATCATGATCACCCCCCTCTAGCCTTAAATCATGAACGGTCTCTTAGGACGGTTAACAAACAAGTATCAATACTTCATTGCCATTTTGAAAGGTCTGTTGACCATGTTGAGTGAGTGAGTGGGTTCAAATTAATAATCACATCGGCAATATTTCAGCCATATCATGACCAAAGATTTCCCATGTTAATAATATAGATAATGTTATATTATAAAATATGTCGCCAATGGACAGTAAAACAACTAGAATATCACAGTTAGAGATTTAAAAGTAGCATGTAACTAAAATATTATATAACTATTTGGACAATGCAGGGCTTCATTTAAGAGAGGTTACCTGCACCAGGAGCAACCTAAGGTAAAAACCTAGCTGCACCAGCCAAATTCGGGTTGCAACGTAGTGTTAAAACGTCAGAGGTTTCGGTGCACATAAACATAGGTAGTACCTATGAAACCATAGCAACACAGAGACACAGCTGATTCCTGTTTACAAGAGCTGTCATAGCCGAAACGTGTATATGAATAGCAACATTTCAGTGCCATAGCTATTCAAAGTTTAGAATAAAAATGAGCTGACATATTCATGCTTATAATGTTAGATTTATTGTTGATTTATTTCTCAAATTAGACTTACAACTAGGTTGCACTTTGTAATATTGCGTTGCACCAGTGCAAGTAACGAAGCACTAAATAAAAATGGTCTATAGATCCTCAGCATCTGAAGGTAGATCACCATACTAGGAACATAACAAATAGCGAGCCTGACCACCCGATCCCGTTATTCGCCTCTTACGACAAGCATGGGTTACTGAAGACCAATTCTAACCCGGATCTTCACCTACAATGACCAAAACAGCACTGAACTGACAATCAGTTCTTCCATGGTTTGATGCTTACCTGGCCTTCCCCCGACCTCGGCCTCGACCTCTACCAACAGGCTTCGACCGCTGAGGTATTTCCAGCGGATGTAGCAGGCCTTCCCGCTCTCTCCTGACCAACAACACATAGATGATAAAACGCCTTTAACAAAGACTGAAAAAACTAGATTTCGTATTCAAGTATAAATTAAGTGTGTATTATTTCATAATCTTTTCATCGAGTGAGTGAGTGAGTATGGTTTTACGCCGCTTTTAGCAATATTCCAGCAATATCGCGGCGGAGGACACCAGAAATTGGCTTCACACATTGTACCCATGTGGAGAATCGAACCCAGGTCTTGGGCGTGACGAGTGAACGCTTTAACCACTATGATACCCCACCGCCCCTCTTTTGATCGAAATACAGTGGACACTGTATAATCCGACACTCACTGGGACCGGGAAAAAATGTCGGATAATACAGAAGGTTGGATAATTCAATGTCTCCTTGCTTGAATACTTTCCAAACAGTACTATAACTGGCTTATAGCATGAAATTAGTGCTTAATAGCTATTTTCTTGGTAAATAAAGGGGAAAATATTCTGTATTTACATATGTACATGTATATCACTGGATTTATTATCGTCAGTATAGGTCCGTCTCCTATTCTCGCGGGTTTCCTATTCTCGTGGTAAACACTTTTTCTGCAGAAATCGCCGATGCGTGACACTTAGCGGTTGTTTACATCACCGACTGGTAACTAGGAAGTGGACCAAGTCTGTGAGTGATCAAAATCTTGCAGTGTCACGAATATTGGGTAGTTTATACAAACTTGAACATATCATTACTTTTTCCCGTCCTTTCTGGCAGGATTGCTCCTACATACACTCAATAACGTTAATTCCTGGTAATACCGCTAGACTGGGAGAAGCCTCGTTTCATCAAAGGCGGATGGCATTGTTTATCACTGGGCTCACGAGTGGTAATACACCTGATGGATCTGGCAGCTGATAGATGCAGATGTTAGAGGAGAAGGCTCTTCATTTAAAAACAACAAGTATGAATACAATAAGAATTGTTTGTGTTATTTTTTCAGCCGATATCCATAAGTACCGCGAGAATAGGAAACGCCTTCCTACAATATACATACATGTACTACTATCACAATCATAATTCAGATGTCGGATTATACGTATTGTCAACTAAAGAATATGGTTCAGGGAATGTGAGAATGACTACATTACCTGATGACCGGGAGGCCGAGGCAGTAGGGTAACTACTGTGCTTCAGGGACTGTGAGCCAGTCTACACTGAAGGGAAGACTAGGCAGTTGGGAAAATGATATGGTTCAGGGACTGTGAGACAGACTAGTGTTACGGCACCACAGCAGTGATCGAAAACCGAACAGTGACGGAGTAAAAACTCAATTAACACACTACAGTCAGAAAGTTACTCACATTTTGAATTCTTCAACCGGACACATGGTCTGACATCTGCCTATAACACGAGGGACGTCGTCCATGGTGACAACTTCTTAGATCAGCGCTAAGTAAACTAGAAATGGAACCTGCCCGTGTTTACTTTCGTAATGCGCTCATCTTTAAAGGGGCAATAACTTCGTAAACTGTTAACCGCTAATAAATATATTTGTCAAAAACGCAATCACGAATTTGAGTGATTTGTTTCGTGTTCGTGTCTGACCATGATTCAAGAATCTGAGACAGCATATCGTCATCATCATCATCATCGTCGTCGTCGTCGTCGTTGTGGGTTAAGCATTACTCACTCACTCACTCACTGAAGCATAGAAACGTAATCAGACGCAGAATCGTTTGGGGTCTATTTTACTCATTAATAATTCCATCTTCATTATTATGATAACAAATGACCACAGTTGGAAGTTTAACTTCATCTGCTTGTGATACAAAATGTTAGGACTGAAACAAAAAAGTCAGTGTACGTCTTTATAATTTTCTCTTGTAATCCTAATGAATTTATCATTATATTTTAATACATTTTGGAACTTCATAAAAAGTACACGATCTGTTTTTATAAGGGTCAAATCGCCCCAGTTACAAATTGCCCCAGCAAATGTGGTCAAAATGCCTCGGATTATTGGTCAAATCGCCCCAGGTTTGGTCAAACTGCCCCAGGGGGGTAGTCAAAATGCCTCAGTTTATTTAAAATGATTAAATATATGCCATAAATGCATAGTTTTTGTAGCTGGGTCGATTTGCCTGGCACCCATTTATAACATGACTGCAATATTTTGACATTTCATAGACTGCCAACGGGAATCATATTTCACACACACGCCCTAAGTGCAACGTGCTGTCTGTCTCATCGAACTAATAATGATTCTGCCGAATGCTAAAACAAATGAATAAAAACAAAATACAGATGTTAAACTTAAAACCAACCATAGCAATCTGGCTCTTACCTTGTTCGAGGAATGTATTCATCAATATCCACATAAAGTTACGATATGTCCTTCATCTGCAGCTGACAAAGAAACCTGTTACGTGTCATTTTTCATTTAAAACAGTCTTATGTGCAAAAAATGTATATAACGTTATAACTGGTGCTAGTTTCTCAGCTGGTCACGTGACTTATTCCGTTTTTGTTTTGTTTTGTTTTTTCAAGGCAGCACACATTTTGTAATGCGATAGCTGTTGGGGCAGACTCAAGCGTATGGATGCGACTCTTTACCCGCACGCTTGTTATACCATGATGAAAGAGTGAATGAATATTGCTTAACGTGTATGACCTCTCTGTCGTCGTTTGACGTCGTAGAAGAAAATCCATTTTTGACATTTATTGCGAGTCATTTTTAATGTTGAGCGTATAATGTTATGCATAAGCACATAAATCCAATTCATATACACTTATGTCGTTCAGATATCAGGCTGTATTTTCTTCGCTCACACTTTCCGTAAAGATGCCAAAATAAAAAATTCGTAGCACAGTGCTTTTATCGGTGCGCGATAAAAAGGGGAGAAATTAACTGTTTTTAACGCATAACAAAAATTTGGACAACATTTAGCAAGGTCTATTTCTCAAACCGCCGAGGTAGTTGCACTTATATTTATACCAATGGATAGGAAATTTAATATTCTACATCTCTGTGTAATTGTATAGCCGTACGTAGATCCAGGACCACGCGAGCGCAATTCTCGCACAACGTTCACTTTTCAAACCGTATGAAAATGTGCGCCTGAAAAAAAACTCGGCATCAAGGGGGTTAAGCCGCATCAGCACTTTTGCAGCTATTAATTCGCGGCGAGAAAATGTCTTATATTTTACAATAAGCTTAACAATATAAAATGATGTTGAAAGTCGCTAAAATATCGGCCTTATATCACATTAAAAACTATGAATAAAGATCACGATAAGCATGGCAGTACAAACTGGGTGTCCGACATCAGAGTTCTGGTGTTCCCCGCCGTGATATTGCTGGAATATTGCTAAAAGCGGCGTAAAACCAAACTCACTCACTCACTCCGACATCTGGCCCCGATTTCTCGAAACAAACTTAAGTCTGAGTTTTGACTTAAGTAAGAGTTTTTACTCAAATTTGAGAAAAAGAAGGAAAATGCATATCCCAGAATGAACTGAAATCGATATTACACTCAAACATAGTTGACAATTTGAGTTGGGTAGATAGGCTACTTAAGTTTTTTGGGCTTTTTTTATGAAAAAAATACAGTTGAGTTAAGAAATCAGCTGTTTCAAATTGTCAAACTCAGTTTGAAATTTGAGTAAAAACTTAAGTTTTTTCGAGAAATCGGAGCCAGGTCTACTTTTATAAACTGGATTCTCGTATATCTATAAAGCCCAAGATTGTAGAGATACGAAATATTTTCTAAGATGATTAAACAGCGGTGTATAGGTTTATAAATTCAGAATTAGTGTAAAAAAATCAGTAGTACACCATTTCTTTGTCACTATATTTCTTATAAGTCACTTTTAGCTAAAGAAGTTTACTTATCAAATTCTATAGATAAAGGTTTCAAAGTTGTTCTCACGAAGTTTCGTATACTTTCTCGTACCTTGACGATTCCGAAGCAACGTTATAAGAAAAGTATAGAAAACGTTGACCGATTTGCCTTAATATGTGATAACTGTGACAACCTGGCTGTCGAAGATGGATTTCACTTCATTTTGAGTTGTCCATTCTATTTAATATTAAATATTATCAGAAATGAATTCATTCCAAAATATTTTCATCACTATCCTGTCTGGGAAAACCTATGACAATGTAGTTGTTTCCCTGCTCCCATGACATCTTCTAATCAACACTCCCTAAAATTTCTGTTCTACGGTGTACAAGTGTTGTTGCATCATGTACTTTGTATACTTGTATCTACTGATTTTGAATGAATAAAAAATTTATAAAAAAAAAACACTCCCAAAAATATCATTTTCTTTTGTGGAGTACGCATTTGTATCATTTGTGTCAGGATACACGCAAATATATTATGGGAACATTTACCCCAGTATATACAGGCTATTAACAGCGGCACAGGTAACCACATATCATTAGGTATAAGCTTCAGTCTACACAGATACTTTGATATTTAAATAACAGTAAAATGTCACGATAGTCTATCAGTATGAAATATACCATTACATTGACATACCATTATTGATTGGCGTAGTTACAAACGCAGTACATAACATATCGATCCCAGTTGCAAACTAGTATCCCCTGACTAAATGTTTACTCACCCGTGACTCGGTTCATCATTAAAAATGCACAGTTTTCTTTTCAATTAAAGGAAACATTTCCATTGTTCCGCTTTACGCTCGATAGACGTGTTTGTCAGTATTGTGGGTCACGTGCTTGCTAGTTACTGGATGGACTCGGATGTTGACACACATTTTACTGATGGAAGTTCATTGTAAGTCGAAGCCCCCAGTATCCTCTGATGTGGAGGTAACCGATATCTGAGACAGGAAAGGTAGGTCATTTCATTGTCCTGGACCCGTGAAGATCCGGGGTAGAATAGGTCTTCAGCAACCCATGTGCTTGCCATAAAAGGCGACTATGCTTATCGTAAAAGGCGACTAACGGGATCGGGTGGTCAGTTTCGCTGACTTGGTTGACATATGTCATCGGTTCCCAATTGCGCAGATCGATGCTCATGCTGTTGATCACTGGATTGTCTGGTCCAGACTCGATTATTTACAGACCGCCGCCATATAGCTGGGATATTGCTGAGTGCGGCGTAAAACTAAACTCACTCACTCACTCATTGTCCTGATTTATTAACCACCTAATTATAACAGATAAGATGTAACCAGCTAGGGCGTTAATAAAGGCATAAAGCAACCAGCTATTCAGAAACCATGAGAAATCAATACATACGATAACTATATTATGTTGTTGTCCTCCTTGCTAACCCCGTACAGTGATTTCAAACCCACTATCAAAAGTTATACTCGGGGCCTTAAGAAGGAAGAAAAAATCTTCATGAACTAAAACCAACAATTGGTTATACCAACTTAGGTTGTCAGTCAAGACGTGATGAGGTAGTTTTAGGACGATGTCGTATTGGCCCTAGTCGGTTTACTCATGACTATCTGCTGAAAACGGATGGAGATTGACCTCTTATGTGTATCTCTTGCGATGAAGTGTTTTCCATCAAGCATATTCTGCTTGGCTGTGTGGACTTGTTAGGACAGTAAATCTGAGAGTCCTGGTTAGCTGCTCGAGCAAGCATCTTTTTGCGAATAAATATTAAGTCGGTAAAAGATCAAAGGTGCCGACAGTATTGTATCAGAAAATATAAGATTTTTGCATTGCGTCACTATGAAATCGCGTCACTGCGCCAATACATGGTGATAGAGCGAACTGCATTTCTTAATTAAAGCAAGGTTGGATTACTGCAATGCGTTGTTTGCTGGATCTAGTTCTATCTCCCATCTGCAGAGGATCCAGATGGTTGTTGGTGGGACCACATTGTAATAACTCAGTAGATCTACTCTTCTTAACTTTCAAGAAGTACAAATGAAAGACCAACTCAGTAACAAAGGCCTATAACATGTTCTGAAGATTAAAACAACAAATTCTATTTTATCAAAACAAAAATACTTAATATTTGCGAGTTAAAAATGACATCTTGTATTCATGGTTTGTGCAAAATCAATCACTTATAACAATATCATCCGTGATCACAATATTGTTTTTTATGGCTATTCTGTTTCGTTTCATCTTTACTGATATGAATTCACATGTCAAGCGTCCTTATTCAAATACCAACATATTTTGACGGGAATAGTATTTCTATTGAAAAAACTGTCAATTCAGTTGCACCAGGATTATTTTAACAGGATCTTTCTGGTACCTTGTCAAAGATAATAGGAGTGCAGGCAGCACAACCTTGTCACACACCTTCATCAAGTTACGAAAGATTTAAATTGAAGCGAAAACAACTAACAATGCTCTCATGATTATCACTGTACACGAGTCTGATGATATCGATGGAAACTATGCCATATCTCTCACTGATTCTGACAAGGTAGCTTGAATCATCTGCACAGACGCTGAGAAAAACTCTCTGTAGCACTTTCACAGGTAGTTCTGGCAAACTGCTGACAGGAAATGCATCATACATACATGTGTTCAGCATAATTTGCGTAAAATAGTAAGGACATCACGAACATTTTAAACACTTGGCGATTTAACAAGAACTGATGCTAAATTCACATAAGTGAGTGATTTAGTTTAGTTTCACGCCGTTTTAGCAATGTTACAATATCACGATGGCGGACACCAGCAACGGGCTTCACCCACTGCACTCATGTGAGGAATCGAACCTGGGTCTTGCGTGTGACGAGAGAACGCTGTAACCACTAGGCTACCCCATTGCCCTCAATATGCATGACACCCGTGAAGGTCCGGGTTAGAATATTGATCTTCAGTAACCCATGCTTGTCGTAAAAGGCGACTAACGGGATCGGGTGGTCAGGCTCGCTAACTTGGTTGACACATGTCATCGGTTCCCAGTTGCGCGGATTGATACTCATGCTGTTGATCACTGGATTGTGTGGTCAAGACTCGATTATTTACAGAGCGCCGCCATATAGCTGAAATATTGCTGAGTGCGGCGTAAAACTAAACTCACTCACTCAAAATGCATGACAAAGTTTCAGTAAAGAGAATCAATAGCAAGCGACACGGTTACTTGATCTGCAAATGTAGACCGAGCGCTCATTAAGATTCATGAGTCTATTGCTTTTGTGCAACGTGAGTTGGGTGAGCGAGTTCAGGTTTACAGCCACGTCGGTAATATTTCAGCCATATATCGTGACTAAAACACGTTATAAATTCACGATAGATACATATAAATCATAAATAACCTGTCAACGAAGCACAGTAAAACAACTAGAATATCTCATTTACGAATATAACATTAGTATGTAAATCCAAAACATTTAAACTATAGAGCACAAAACAATATACAAACAGGCTATAGAGTGCCAACAACTGAAGGTTGATCACCCTACAAGGGGCCATGGGGACTTACAGTGCATTTGCTTCCTGCATGGACCCTAGCTGGATTTACAGAGAGAGAGAGAGAGAGAGAGAGAGAGAGAGAGAGAGAGAGAGAGAGAGAGAGAGAGAGAGAGAGAGAGAGAGAGAGAGAGAGAGAGAGAGAGAGAGAGAGAGAGAGAGAGAGAGAGAGAGAGAGAGAGAGAGAGAGAGATAGAGAGAGAGATAGAGATAGAGAGAGAGAGAGAGAGAAAAGAGAGAGAGTGAGATAGAGATAGAGAGAGAGAGAGAGTGAGAGAGAGAGAGAGAATTTAACAATTAGTGGAACAGTTCACACAATATCTAAGCTATTGTGTCAAACACTAATTGTCAAGGCTGGCCAATGTGCGAAACACGCATTACGTCGAAAAGCTCACGTTAAATCTCCAAATCACCATCATCATAGGAACATTTCCAATGGCTTGTGTTATACACGTGTTTATGTTTGAAAATTTGGCAAACCTTGAGCATCGATTGACGCTGTAGAAATGTCTCAGAATACCAAATGACCTTGACAAACATACTCGAGCTTACAACAGCTTCAAATCTACACACACTGTCAATGGCGTCATGGCGTCTTCCAGTGGCATTAGTTGGAGAGTCAGATAAGCGTCATAGCTATCGAACCGTGTACATTGATGACGGTGTCCATGGCAACGGGGTTAATGGGTAAACTTCACTGGGAATCAGATTAGCTGCTTAGTATGCATTCGTTGCTTTACCATGAATTTGTTCGACTCGCTGGTTTGGTCGTATGCTTAACCGAGTGTAAACACACTCTAAAGAAAACAAAAATCAAAAGAAGTTTATAGTTTTATGTCAAGATCAACTGATCCCAATTGATTTATGAAACAATGGGCGGGATTACTTATATAGATAGCTTAATTTATGTTAACAAGCTCTTGTATATAGACATCTCACCACCACCGTCCTTCCCGCACATCCCCTTCTCACAACTAAACAAACACATCTCTGATGGAATTGCAACCAAAATGGACATTAATTATTGAAAAGCATAGGCAAATGGAAGTATGTACTCAGCTATGAACAGTTGTCACAACGTAAATCATTTTCATAACAGCTTTTATTTAGAGTGTATTTACACCATCGGTAATCAGACGACCAACTCGGAAACATGCCAGTGGATAGTTCTCACGCGCTCTGCGCATTGCACAGCGAGTTAAAAAGTAATGTGAAACCAACGAATGCCGCCGTGGTACATGTGATGTGATGGTGAGTGGATGATAAATATAGGCATAGATACAGATACGCTCTTAAAAAATATAGACACGCATAGACGATTTTGAGAATATTGGACTCATGTAGCTGCAGCAAAAACAACACAAATATACTATTTCTTTTTAAAACGTCGTCTTTGATTGATTTTAAGCAGCTTTAGACCCAAAGCGGGACAAGTTGTACATTTGTTCTTGTTCTAGAAGCGTTTCAAGAAACATTCGCCAAAACGTCACAACGAAAACATGCAAAGCAAAAAGCACGTGCAAGTAAGCCGAAAAGGCATGCGGTATCGACAATTATAAAAAAAGGCACTTCATTTATTTCGAGCTATAGGCAACATTACTCTGCCAAGTGATTGGTTGACATAAAATGATTACATTTACCTGGAGCTATAGGCAACATTACTCTGCCAAGTGATTGGTTGACATAAAATGGTTACATTTACCTGGAGCTATAGGCAACATTACTCTACCAAGTGATTAGCTGACATAAAATGATTACATTTACCTGGAGCTATGGGCAACAATACTCTACCAAGTGATTAGCTGACATAAAATGATTACATTTACCTGGAGCTATAGGCAACATTACTCTACCAAGTGATTAGCTGACATAAAATGATTACATTTACCTGGAGCTATGGGCAACATTACTCTACCAAGTGATTAGCTGACATAAAATGATTACATTTACCTGGAGCTATGGGCAACAATACTCTACCAAGTGATTAGCTGACATAAAATGATTACTTTTACCTGGAGCTATAGGCAACATTACTCTACCAAGTGATTAGCTGACATAAAATGATTACATTTACCTGGAGCTTTAGGCAACATTACTCTGCCAAGTGATTGGTTGACCTAACATCGTGACATTTACTTGGAGCTATAGACAACATTACTCTGTGATTTCAAGCTTGACGTTACAATGAAGGATCTGCCTTTCTCATTTAAATGAGTGAGTGAGTGAGTGAGTGAGTTTGGTTTTACGATGCTTGTAGCAGTATACCAGCAATATCACGGCGGGGGACACCAGAAAATGGGCTTCAGACATTGTACCCATATGGGGAATCGAACCAGGGTCTTCGGAGTGACGAGCGAACGCTTCAACTCCTAGGCTACCTCCATCGCCCCGCTTTCTTACTTTAAATCTTATCGATCAGATGCCACCATATATTACGGGGTTTTCATTATGTATTGTTTAATACAGTAATATCTGTTCAATTGTTTAAATCAATTATGAAAGATGTCTGAAATAGTGCCAGTGTGACCTGCATACTGAAATCGTGGTTCGGATCTTACCATATATTAAATGGACAAAGTATTCTTATTTACTCTAAAGAAAAATTCACCAGTGATCAAAATCCAAAACAAATTGTATTCACTTTTGTCGTAAATACAAACCACACAAGGATCCAGACCTAACTTTAGATGGTACTCCCATCAAAGTAGTAGAAGAGGCCAAATTCCTTGGACTCATATTCGACCGCCACCTGACATTCTTACCACACATAAATGATTTGAAAACAAAGTGCTTGAAGGCTCTAGACTTGCTAAAAGTAGTTTCAAATACAGAGTGGGGAGGGGATCAGACCACCCTCCTTCGCTTGTACAGATCATTAGTTCGCAGTAAACTAGATTATGGCTCCATTGTCTACGGTGGAGCCTGCAAAAGCAATTTAGAAAAATTAGACTCTATCCACCACCAAGGACTGAGGCTCTGCCTGGGAGCTTTTAGGACCTCTCCGGTAGACAGTCTATATGCAGAGGCAAATGAACCTTCCCTTGAACAACGCCGCATTAAACTCTCACTGCAGTATATCACTAAATTACGTTCAAATGAGCCCAATCCAGCATACAATTGTGTTTTCAACCCGCTCTATGAAAACTTATTTCCTAAACTGCCAAGCCTGGTTCCACCACTTGGAATCAGGATCAAACCACACATATCTGCAGCTAAAATTGATCTCGACATCATTGCACCATACCGACTTCTGTCATCACCACCATGGCAAATGGTGAAACCACAGGTCGATCTTACCCTCACCAAACTCAAAAAGTCTGAAACAAATCCCTTGGTGTTCCAACAGGAATACAACCAGTTACGTTCGAAGTATAACACTCACAGATCCATTTTCACAGACGGATCCAAGGACGATGGCCAAGTTGCCAGCGCTACAGTCATTGGAGCCAAGACTGTCTCCTCTAGGACCCCCGACAACAGTTCCATTTTCACCGCTGAAGCCAAAGCTATCTTCTCAGCTTTGACCTACATTCAACAGCAAAATCAGACAAAAACTTCATCGTATTTACAGATTCATTATCCTGCCTTCAAGCACTTCTAAACGTGACTTCAAGTCACCCAATCATCCTGGACATATTAGAACTGTACAACGACCTTTCTACTAGCCAATATGACATCATCCTCTGCTGGTTGCCGGGTCACGTCGGCATAGCAGGTAACACTATGGCCGATGCTGCAGCAAAAGCAGCTCTCGAAAAGCCCCTATCTCCACTGCTAATCCCGTACAGTGACTTCAAACCCACTATCAAAAGCTATACTCGGGACCTGATGCAAAAAAGGTGGGACACTCAAGTAGGAAGAAACAAACTCCATGAATTGAAGCCAACAATCGGTTATACCTACTTGGGTTGTCAGTCAAGACGCGATGAGGTAATTTTACGACGATGTCGTATTGGCCACAGTCGATTTACACATGACTATCTGCTGAAAACGGATGGGGATGGACCCCCCCATGTGTGTCTCTTGCGATGAGGTGTTCACCGTCAAGCATATTCTGCTTGAATGCGTGGACTTATCGCCTGCAAGGGACTCACATTATGATGCAACAAACCTAAAAGATCTGTTCTCACGCGTGAGCGCCCGACTGATACTGAACTACCTGAGGGAAGTTGATCTGTATCATAAATTGTAACTGTGAAATGTAACAACCATAAATTGTAACTATGAAATGTAACAAACCGCCTGCCTTTAAATTTGATGCTATGACCTTTTCTGCTTTTGAATGACAATGTAATCAATAAATGTCTTTGAAATAAAACTCATTCCGAGTATGTACTTACAATATTTACTAATGCAAACTTGTTCTCGTCACTATATGGCTGGAAAAATGCCGATGTGACGTAAAGCTCAACTCAACTCAACTTGATTGATATGTTAAAAGCACCAAACGTCAGCACTAGCAACTCACACGTTGTCAAACTCGATTTTGAGGGTGTGAACATTCCAACAACTCGCCACCAGCACCAATTTCAGAGTTGTCCAACTGTTGTCGAGAAATAGGATCGGTCTTTATTCTAACCAACTTTTCTATCAAACTTTCTATGTTGTCAAACTCGGGCTCGACACATGAAGTGTTGTCAAACTCGTGTTGTTCAGAAACAACCAATCGCAGTGAACGAAATAGTCACATGATCGCACCGATAGACACATGGCGCTCAAATGACACGAAAGTTTGACATGTGTTTGACGTATGAAAACGCGAGTTTGACAACTTTTAAATTTTTTGACAACATGTGTAGTCAAACTTGCCGTGTAAAGGCCGCTTTAGTTCTAGGTTAGTTCTAGGTTAGTTCTAGGTTAGTTCTAGGTTAGTTCTAAGTTAATTGTTTGACTTTAAGACATCACAAGCAATATCTCTTTACAACAGTAAACGTCTAGCTACACCTTGCACAATAGCTGTCTAGCGAAAACATAGAGTCCGTTTTGATTTCATTTGACACCGATAAATTGTTGACTAACACAATGTCTAATAATTGAAACGAAACCAAATTTTGCACAGTCACATGAAATCGACAGACCAACTCTGATGATTTGTCTCATAATTTTGGACACCTGAATAAAAAAGTTGTTTAACAAACGATCATTATTTTGTTGTCACTTTTCGCTATTTTTTACGAGGAGGGACTACCTGCTGGTAGAACAACCAGGTAATCAACAAGTGTGTGTAGTGAAATTTCAATTTCACAGGTGCAACTCGCACACCTGGCAAAATGGGTTGTCTTAATTTTTTATAAATGGTATTAAAAGCCTTGTATGCTGAACCACCAGCAGATTTCAATTTACACATGATTACACCCAAAGCGCAACTAGCAGAATCAACTATTTCATTAGCAGTTTACGTTAGGTCTCGTGTAACCATAAACAAAGATATTTAAAAGCGTGATTGTAATCAAAAATATTATGTCCAATAAAAAAAATACAAAGTCATCTTTGTACACAACAAGGATGACAGTAAACAACTTTTGTCTTCTTCTTATTTAACATTCGCCATCTAGAACACCACTCTGTGACACAGTCCAACATTCCTTTACGCTATTCTCACCAGGTGCAATAAGCACAATATCATCTGGGTAAAGTAGCAAACTTAAAATAAGTTCGCCAATACATATACCACATCTCAGATTATTAAGTTCTTTCGCAAGATCGTTTATATAGACAGAGAAATGTGTCGGTGACATAACACACCCCTGACGGACTCCCGTATGTACCTGAAATATATCTGTGTAGCTTTCACATGACCATGTGCTCTCATACATAGACACGGCATGGATATATTTCCACCTAACACCAGTTTGCAAAGATTATACTATAAACAGTTACGATCAAACCAAAAGAAATACATTAGAAATATACGGACATTTAACTATTGTTATATTTAGACTGACTGACTGACTGACTTTGGTTTTACGCCGCTTTTAGCAATATGATATTCCAGCAACATCACGGCGGGGGACACCAGAAATGGGCTTCACACATTGTACCCATGTGGGGATTCGAACCCGGGTCTTCGGCGTGACGAGCCAACGCTTTGATCACTAGGCTACCCCACCGCCCCCTTATATTTAGAGGCATCGGTAACACGTTAGAGTCTGTAAAAAGTCATAGCTTATTAAGGTGTACAAAGTACATAAGCGAGGAACATCTTATTGCTTGTGACCAGATTTAGTCTAAACTTATTTGCAACTTTATCACAGAGGAATATTGCATGTAGAACTATTACGACGTTTTGCTCTATATACAAAACATTAAGCGCCTACTTTTATGGTTGGGTTGAGTTGAGTTGGGCTTTATGTCACATCGGCATTATTTCAGCAATATTAGTCTAGAAGCCAGACCCCCCAAACTGGTGAAAATGTGGTGCAGTTCTGACGACCGACAGGAATGTGATTTTTCACAATCAGGAATGATTTGGTTTTGATTTAAAGCCGGTTGTCATCGGCTACCCTGTGTGACTACCGTGTAGGAGCCCTTTTAAGGTGCAACATGTCATGTCAGTTTTGGCAATATTTTAACCGATAACTGGGTGGTTAATTTAATAACTCTGGTTTGGATAGACCGATTTTCATCAAAATAGTAGTTTTGGAATGGTCAGATCATGATTTAAAATTGTGATTTAAAAAACGATGTTACATATATGCTCATCGCAAAAATATAGAAAACAATAGAGAAATAGATATAAACTTGTGTTGAATGTTCGGGCTTTACAGAGATGTATACCTAGATATGCATCATGTCCATTTTCTGTCATTTTCTGTCTTTTGTTGTGTTTGGAGCACAATAGCTGAAATATTTGAAAATATTCAAAAATATCTCATAAAGTAAACTTCCGTCGTTCTGGTTTGGCAAGACTATTAATCTAGGTTGAACAGGCTGTTCAGTATCAGCTGTGGCCAATTAGTAATAATGATGTCACCTTGAACCTGGGTAGTGGGAAAGCACGATGATTAATGAGTTTGCTCGTTACGACAAACTTCCCAGTTTGGTACCGCGTTCCCATTCCCTGAGATACCACGACGCTGAATAATTGCTAAAATGGGAGTACATTCAAGTTCAAAACAAATGATTATTTATGTTGTATCTGAACATTGCATGCTTAATCGCTACATTTGTTTATCGACAGATTGACGATGGGAATACACAAACCCGTGACGATAGTAGCTGTCATTGGCTCATTGGTCTATGGTTTACTGAATGTATACAACAGCCATTATTTCTACGACCGAAATACCATCATGCCATGCCCAAGTGTTCTAAATGCACAACGTTATGGAATTTGGCAAACACGGCCTTTAACAGAAAAGGAAGATAATGAAATCGAAACCTTTCTGCATGAATCTCTCTTCACTGGAAAACTATTCCCACCCTATGAAGGCACGAAAAAAGCTTGTGGAAATATATCTTACCTCAAAAAAGGTGCATCAAGTAAATCTGCGATTTATCATCGTGTGTTGTGCAATCCAAGGGGAGATAACCCATGTTGCTATAACAACCGGTGTTTGAAGAAGCAAGTTGGGCAATGTGTGTGTTCCGAATGCATTGACCTTCGAACTGAAGTACATGCTGAGTATTCGAAGTGGGTCCCTAATGATGACAGGTAAATATGATGAACAATGTCTTCTGTCTAAAACATGTCTTCTAAAAAAACAACCGTAAACGATAAAGGAGACGTTATATAGAAAGACACACGGTACAGCTTTGTATGTAATGTTTCGTAAAAGGAACCTTTATAGTTGTGAAACTGTGTCAGTTTTTAACATTTGTTATAACTGGGATAACGTTTCCTCAGCCAAGTAGAGATTCTTGAACATTTTGCGTTGAGTCCCATCCGGGATTCGACCACACATTCTAAGGCACCTAGTCACCATCACACAAAGTAACCGATTTAACCCATTCAGCCATCGCATTGTCCACCAAATTGAAGTCTGACAATTTGTAATCTATAACTTTGTGTACCCACCTGTCAGTGTAATTAAAGTAATGAACATACAAAGCCTCTTAGAAACTGGACAGATGTACCATATGTTATTTTTGGGATTAGACTTTCTTAGTAAAGAGGCATTTGGGGCTGTTTCATTCGGAAGCCAACACTCTCAGTATAAGACACATTATCGCCAACACAAATCTGATTTTCAAACTTTTAAAGAATATCTAAAGTATGAATCAGTGCAAGTAAAAGAAATTGAATTACAAAGGAATTACAGATGGATCACGCATAATGCATACATACTACACACATACCAATATTTGTATAGAGCCAATAACCAACTCAGTTGCTCAAAGACGCCGTGTTAACCATTATACTTGCCGTCAACACAGACGCGAATTGTTTTTAAATAGCCCATGTAGCCGCAATATCAATTATATGATGCCAAGGTTTACAAATGTCTCAAAGTCGAGTGAACGTTTTGTGTTTTAGTTTATTGGTTACCTCCCCTTCAGCAACAGTCCAGCTATGGCGGCGGTCTGTAAACAACAGAGTCTGGTCCAGACAATCCAGTGATTAGCAGCATGAGCATCGGTATAAGATTCCGATTTAAGGTATAAAATATTTCAACCCTTTATCCGACCGGTATTGCCGTCCTTGATCCTTAATATCTAAAGCCATTTTTAAGCTATGGAGACAAAACATTTTGAATTGCTTCTTTGTTCTGTTTAGATGTCAGATTGAAAACTTCACATCACAGTCAGCTTGTGAACTGTTAAAGGGAGGGACCTACCACTTCTACGGTGACTCTCTGGTTAGGATGATGTTTGTGGCATTTATCATCATACTCCAGGGAGACAATCAACATGGTGGACTCCATCCTGACATCCCCAAAGGTACGACTGAGTGAGTGAGTAAGCGAGTATGGCCTACTGAAAGGCAAAAGAAATGTCGTAATATTGGAAATGACATTTAAGTATCAATGGAACATTTGAACATATTTTTTTTAAATAATACGCCACTGAAATGCAGTACCGACTTCCATCAGAGAAGATAACCCCTCTCCATTGTCCCCAAAGACAGTTTCGCCGCTGTTGTGTCCACTTGGATACGTTCCCGGCGGTGACGTTGGGTGAATATGGGTCTCTTTGCAGGACATCGACAAAACAGGTTCCTGGCTTGGAGACGTCGCCAAATGGTACGTCACTGACTGGTCGCTGGTGGTTTCCTATGGTCACCCAAGCTGTTTCTCTGGCCCTTGCGAATAGGTCTTGCACTTGTTGATGGACGATATGACGGTCCTGGCGACGTGTTGTTACACGGGGTTGACCACTACGTGGACGGTCATCAGTGCTGCTGGTGGCGTTGTATCGCACTCTAAGACGTTCTATCGTTCGTACGCTGCAACTGAAGTCATTAGCAATGACTCGAGCATGTTGACAAGCGTGCAGACGTCCAATAGCTTGTTGTGGTTGATCTCTCGTTAACCTAGTCATAGCTGCTGTGTTCAGAAAACAAGTGAACGATTGCCATTCAAGCCGGCAATTTATGCCTGAATGCATTTATGATGCACGTGCATCTCGATTTCAATGTTGTGTTTGTGGGAACTTTTCCCTCCCCAAAAAACAAAAACATTTCTAACTTCAATCTCAAACAATACTTTATTGGGCAATGCAGGCTATACGACCACGATTCATGTTTCCTCAAACTTGACTTCAGGTGTATATTTAAAGAAAAAGGTTCAAATACTCCATTGATACTCAAATGTCATTCAGTACATATAATATATATTTAGTGAGTGAGTGAGAGAGTGTTGTTGTTTTATGGCGCGTTTTGGAAATATCGCAGTAATAACACAATGTGGTATCAAACCAGGATTGTGTCGAGTGCCAAGGATGTATCATACTACGTGTTACGAAAGCCTAAAGCTGTCACTAATAAAACGCTAACATTTTTCGTTGCTTCGATTATTTTGCACTCGGTTCGGGTATTTTCTCGTCATTTCAAGAAAAACACCTAATATTCTTACGGTTCTGCAGCAGGATTTATACCATCCCTTCAGCTGCCAGCGATTGTAATTGTTGTTAACCTCATATTTAAAATTCTACAATATCCTGCGATTAAAACCGCTGATAGCATAGAATATTCTTTGAATGATGTGGTCTTATATATAACATGGGACAATATTTTTACAGTACTTCAACCCCTACCCTTGCTCCAAGAGGCAAATCTAGATAGTAGCACGGTACGCCAGTATGTTATTTATATTTTTTTTAGAAACTATCATTGAAACTAATAATCATTACCTTAAAGAATTGTGCAAGCCTATCCAACCCCTATCAAGGGTATTTCCACAAAAGTTAATAATCAAATTCTACCTACATATAAAATAACATCAAAATTAATCAATGAATTAGGGTTCCATGCCTCAAGGCAAGGAGACCCATTGGTATCGTTCGGATTATTATTATTTACTATACGGCTGTTGTCTTTTTACTAAACATAGCTCCAAAAACCAGTGCTAAGAATCGCTCTAAAAAATCACCAGTGCCAAAATTAGGACCAATGGCAAAGGACAGATAATTCAAATTTAATTCGAAAAGTTCAAAGTTTGACAACAAATATTTCCAGATCTAACGGTTAAAAGACTTCCAAATTTCTTGAGCAGATTGAATTCTGAACAATTTTGCTTGTCTGGCTAAGTCGCTAAAATGCTATGGTTCATTTTAGGTTTTGGCTTCGCTTTTAACAGGTTTCTTAGTAGTTTGCTCGAACGATCACATCCAGAGCTTCCAACCTTTCCATAACTGATGTCCAGTACCCATTGTGCAAATTGTGCACAAAATGTGTCAAGATGTGCCTTGCATGGCCGTCATATTGAGTGCTACTTCCGGACCAAAGTGATCTTCAAAAACTTTCCAAGACTTCTTCACGGGTTTTTTCAAAAGCAAACTTACCAGGGAAGTACTGAAAACTAAACTCGACTTGAAATACAATATAAAAACCATGTATGTGTCTGGCAGCAGAGGTATTAGCGATTCCAGAACACTAACTGTTTGTTGACCTAAGAACAACGGAGCTATGGCCTGTTAAAGAGGGAACCATTTCTTCTCCAGAACTATTTCAGGTACATGACCCTGTCACCTCGGCTGCAGTTTAGAGATCTGCTCACGTGTCAAAAACAGGTTCTTGGTTGTGTTCTTAGCGAGTTCTTGACCTGTAATACACGTGTACAAATCTCTTACTCTGTTTGCCTTTGGATGTAGGCTATTAGAGCTGATTATACCTGCACCAGCAACGTAGCACCTTGGGCCTAAGAGGAACAATTCCAGTTTTGTTCACCATAGTTCCTATCTTCATTGGTTCTCTTCATAGCACAATGAAAATTCACAATGTATAGTTAGGTAGTTTTCTTGAATTTTGGATGTTAAAGTTATCACAATTTGGTGATTAGATATATATCTTGGCAGCATCTGTTTCCAAAGAGACAAGTGTCATTATTCAAAATAGAGTACACACCCGTTTGTATCTATGCTAGGACGATGATAATTCCATTTGAAAGTTAATTAAGGAAGCTTTTCCTATCAATGGAAGTGACATGATGCATACAAGATACACCATTTATTATTTGCAAAGAAATATCACTATTTGCCCTGAAACAATATCATATGATCTCAGTCGGAATTTAACAATCGACTCTGAGACTTATGAATGTTATATGGATTTTTCGCTTCTATTGACAGATTTGCTGTATTTCCCAAACCAGAACTTTTACAATTAAAAGGATAATCATTTGATTGCAAAACTTACAAAGAAGGAAAATGGCAAATGGGGAAGTTCCAAATAACTAATTAAGTTCTGGAGACCATTATCGCTGCTTGCACCTATATTTCTAATTGGTTTTAAAAGGCAATAATTAAATTAGAACTAATACCATTAAAAAGAACCTTCACGGAATGATTTGAAATATTGATCCCTCGTGATGAAAATGACTCTACAGTCAAGCAGTGCATGGCTGACCGTGATTCTGTCTTCACAAGGGATACAAAACGAAGGTCCCTCACCTTTCTAGAAATATTCATGGGTGTATCTCGAGTCAAATAATGACCTCTTCAAACCTGGACCGACAACCCAAGTGGGTGTAACCAATGGTTGGTTTAATTGCATGCATAACTTATTTATACCTACTTGTCTGTCCCACTTCCTTTGTTCCCACTACTTCACGGATATACATTGTACGATCTAATGACAGGTGTATAATTAGTCCATGGGATAAGAAGTGGTGTCACAGATCTGTTGAGAGCTGCAGCAGCCATAGAGTTACCAGTGATTCCAACCAACATAGGACCATGCACGTATTTGCCAGTAGCAAGATTATTATGTAGTTCAGCAGTAAAACAAGGATGCTGACACGAATTGTTCTTAATTTCTTGAAGACAGGACAACTGGTCCGTACGGTGCGTTGCGTTGCGTTGCGGTACGGTACGGTGCGGTACGGTACGGCACCGGGACCGGTAGGGTAGGGTAGGATAGGGTAGGGTAGGGTAGGCGTGCATGGAAGGATGGAGAAGCATTGTTTTGTGAACGTAATTTTCTGTTTCAGATAAAGTGGAAAAGTGCTCCGGAATGTACGTATTTCCACCCAAATGCAGACCGTACCTTGACTACAGCCCGACTCTATGTAATGGAACAGTGAAGGCAATGTTTAAGATGTATACTGGGGGGAAAAGCGATTCCAATGATGGTCGAGGACGTCACACAGATCCTGGACAGACGTCGATCTATGATTCTGTATGGCTGTGGTATGTGGTCAAAGTTCGACACAAAAGGCTCGGAGAGATATGCACTGTCTGTTATCCACGCTGTCCACAAAGGCACTGACCGGCAATGGCCAAAGTTGGTGTGGTCAGGTATTCACCATTACGGTCTTTGGCGACGTCATTATTTTAAAAACATGACTAATGAACACGTGAAATCCTTCAACAGACATATGGAGGCAGTTGTAGGGAAATACAATGTGCCAATGTTTGATACCTTCAACATGACTCGAGGGGTGCGGAGCGTGGACTCATCTCATTTCGGCCCAGGAGTAAACTTCCTCAAAGCTCAGATCTACCTTAACTATATTAAAGAGCTACAAACTAAAGGCAACTGGGACTAACAGTTTGATCATACCATATATGGTATTTCCTACGTCTGGGAGTCACGTGACGATTTGAAACCGAAGATGGAGTTTACAGCGTTGATGCATTATTTCTCATCTATACACCCGATTTGTCTATCTCTTGTGATGAAGTGTTTACCATCAAGCATTTTCTGCTCGACTGTGTGGACTTTTTAAATAATGAAGCAACAAATCTGAACGATCTGGTTTTCCCCTTGAGCGGGCATCTCCTTGTGAACGACTTGAGGGCTGTTGACCTGCAACTATGTTCTGTAGGATGGATTGGTTATTTTTTGGGTAAAATTTGGTTGTATGTCATTTTCCTTCTGTGGATTTTAGTGTAATGAAGAAGCATGTATACCATCCAAAAAAAAGAAACGCATAGGCCATAAATCTGTTGCGAAAATATTGCATTTTCAAACATGTGTAACTACTCGTCCACAAACAGGCTTTAGTACATGATTTTTTACATCAGTTTAGAAGAAGGAAATGTCTATACAACCAAGTGGATAATTTTAGATAACGGAGATGCTGAGCGCGATGTTGACGATGTAGCATGGTCCCGACGTCGGGTCTCCTAGCTCTCAGTCCAATCTCTCTCAACCTGTTGCGTACAGTTTGACCGGATATCCTCCGAAGTCCAGGCACCCTGACTGCTCTGCTGTCACCCGTGGCAGTACGATCACGCAAATGTAGTACCCAGATGTACCGATCTTGGGCTGCAGTGGTGACTCGAGGTCTTCCTGTACAGGGACGGTCTTTTGTATACCTGTATGGTTGTTACGAGCTGCAAGCCGTGATCTCGTCTTCAGACTAACATTCAGATGCCTGGCAACAAAAGATTGGTAATCTCCAGCGTGCATTCTTTCAATGGCGATGTTCACTGTCACAGCGTCCAGTCGTGGTGTGGTGATTTGACCTTGAAACTCCTTCAAAACGAATGCCGATTTCCGAAAGTAATCTGGATTTTTATAGCCAGACAGTGCATGCTCTTTGCTGCACAATTTCTACTGGAATGTGATTTCTGTTGCGTTGTGGCGATGCCTTTTTATAGTTTGGCATGAAATGCATGTGGACCTGTGTTTTTTTGTAAATATCTCATCATCCAATGATCCAATCGATCTCAAACTGTGCAAGTGCATGTTTTGTCAGACAACCTAATCACATTGTAAATCACCGATTTTATGCATTTGTATTAAAGAATCTGTCTATGTAACTGTCAACAAAATAAACAGCAGAACGCAGACGGCTGTATGTGACATTGACATTGCACGCTGGCATGCATGTGTTGAACATGTCAAGAAGGTGGAGAAAGAAGTCAGATATGCAACAATGGCTAACAAATAACAATATACAATTTTCAATTAAGGCCACTAAACCAGAGTTGTACTCTTTGATTAAACCTAACAAACTTCCACCCACATATAACATTGACAACATGCTACGCCAACACGGCTATAAGGTCTTGAGATTACCACCATACCATTGTAATATCAACCCAATCGAACTTATCTGGGGAGACCTTAAAAGTACAGTGGCCCGGAAAAATCAATCATTCAAATTGAATGATGTCAAGCACATTGTCAACACTGCTGTATGTGACATTGACATTGCACGCTGGCATGCATGTGTTGAACATGTCAAGAAGGTGGAGAAAGAGTACTGGCTCAAAGATGGCTTGAAGGAGCAAACAGTTAATCCAGTTGTCATTCGTCTGGACACTGATGACTCCTCTGTGGAAGAATGGAGTGAACTTGATGAAGTTTAATTCTGTTATTATATTTATTTGCTTCTGTCCGACGGAACGGGGCTTTAACAGTAGTTGAGTTCTAACCATAGGTGGTCTGATTAATGATTTAGTGTAAATATACTTTCTGTGTTCTTAGGTACTGCATAAACAAAATATGACATTAACATTACAAATTTAAAGATTTTAACCTACACAATAATTCTCACTAATGGGTTTTGTGGTTAATGTTGAAACAAACTCCGTATGATGGTTAACAGTTGGCACCAATCCCCAGAAGATTGGCCTCTGCAGTTATAATACCAGTTTTTAAGAAAGAAGATAGTAAAAATTCAAGTAATTATCGTGGGATAAGTCTTATCAGCTGTTTTGGGAAACTTTTAACTAGAATTCTTAACCAAAGGCTTTTGGATTGGTCTAATAATATTATTCCGGATTCTCAGTTTGGTTTTCGCCCTCATCTTAGTATTGTTGGTGCTATATTCTCTCTTCATTCATTAATTAGTAACAGCTTTAACAATAATAACTGTATGTATTGTGCTTTCGTTGATTTTAAGAGTGCAATTGATTCGGTAGACAGATGTACGTTATGGTATAAGTTGTCAAAGTTAGGTGTAAATGGAAAATTCATGTCAGGTGTATATTCGTTGTATTTGAACTTTAGATCGTGTGTGAGCGTTGGCGGTTTTGATAGTGATTACTTTGAGAATAATTCGGGTTTACGGCAAGGTCAGGTTTTGTCTCCAGTGATTATCTCAGTGATTTTGAGACTTCTTTTTCGAAGATAATTGTATTCCTTAAAATGTAAAGCTCTAAGTATTTTTGCAGACGACCTTGCTTTACTTTCTGAATCAGTAGAAGGTTTACAAAAGCAGTTAGATTCATCGTTGAATTACTCTTTTGAATGGGGATTTGATGTTAATACCTCTAAGACAAAAATAGTCTTTTTGTTGGTAAACGTCGGTAAACAGAAAATTGGTGCTACAATAATTGTGTAATTGAAGTTGTTGATACTTTTACATATCTGGGAGTTGTTTTTAATTATAATAATAATAAGTTTACAATTGTTGAGATCCAGCTTGCAGATCAAGGTAGACATGCCCTCTTGTCACTCTATAATAATGTAAGGTCACTCTCTCTTGTCACTCTATAATAATGTAAGGTCACTCTCTCTTGTCACTCTTTAATAATGTAAGGTCACTCTCTCTTGTCACTCTTTAATAATGTAAGGTCACCCTCTCTTAATCCTGAATCTCTGGAGCCCCCAGTGAGGATCCCAATCTCCAGGAGTTGTCCACAGAGGGATTTGGGAAGTTGGCCATGTGGTAGGACTGATCATATTGCAATAACTATAGAAAACCAATATAAAACCATATTACAACAGATGTCCATCAATGCATAAACTTATTCAACTTTTATGTGTTAGAGATGTAAAACAGTTATGTAATTTAGGTAAATATTGGTATAAAGCCTGTTGTCTCAGAAATGAAATGATTGCTAGATAATAGGTAATTTTCTGTACATTCTCCATTATAATCAATGTCTAGTCATCTATCTGTACCAATTTTCGTGTACTACTGATTGTCTGTGAAGATAAAGGTAAATAAAGAATCTGACATGGAGATGGGCCCCGGGCCTGTCACGTTTTGAAGAAGTCAAGGAAACTCTATTGAAGGAAGTGAAACATGAACTTGGTAATCAGATAACTACACTTTCTACTGAAGTTCGAGACATGAGTAAACGCTTGGACAACCTGGAAACGAAGTTATCTAATCTCCAAAGCTACTTGACCAACGTTCGTCACAACCATGAACAACCAAGAAGACGTCAACCTGGTAGCGGAGAGGATGGACAGCATGGAGCAGGTCAGCCAGTTCGACCGTGAGCTCGTCAAGCTGGAGGCCTTCATCAGGCGGGATAACGTCATCATCTACACCTTTTCTTGGTTCAAAAATGCTGTCCAACTTAGAATCTCAGACCAATCGCTCCAATTGTTTAACAACCCCATAACATCTGACTCTAAAGCTGTTATCTACGAATGTATGAAATCTCATTATGATATCTCATTACTGGAACGTAATTTAGGAACAAAGCACTGTAATATTTTAATCAAATTTAAAACCGCCAACCATAAATTACCTATTGAAACAGGTCGCTGGGAAAATATTCCCTCAAATAAACGATTCTGTCCGTCATGTCCCTCCCAACTCGGAGATGAATTTCATTATTTATTTCAATGCAATAAATTTACTGCTCCCAGAAATTTGTATTTAAAGAATTATTATGTAAACAACCCTAACTATTACAAAATGTCAGCCCTATTTGAAACTTATAATATGAAACAATTAAGAAATCTATGTAAATTTATTTCCATTATAATGTCTGTCAACATGACATGATTAATTTACCTGTACATAATTGCTGGATTTATTTCAAGCCATAGCCTAAAAGTGATATATTTTTGAAAAATACCCCCATGATGCTTTGCATGTATTTGTAAACTTATGGTAATAAAAAGGATGATGATGATGATGACACCGTGGCGGAGGAGAGGCTTTTGTTTTAGGGTCCCAGTTCACTGGAGCGACATAATCCCCTACAACAAAAGGTGCGCTTTTCCTTTTGTTCCCTGTGATGTTCAGCCACCTGTGATATTTGGCCACCTGTGATGTTTGGCCACCTGTGATATTTGACCACCTGTGATATTTGGCCACCTGTGATGTTTGACTACCTGTGAAGTTTGACTACCTGTGATGTTTGACTACCTGTGATGTTCAGCCACCTGTGATATTTGGCCACCTGTGATATTTGGCCACCTGTGATGTTTAGTCACTGGGTTGTATGATCCTGTAAACTTTGAAACATTTTAATTTAAGGAATGACTGCGAGAATATTGATCGAAAACTTTTATTTTTGCATGACACATTAATTATTTACATAGCCTTATATCCATATCATATAAATATACATCTTATATACATCTTATATACATCTTATATACATCTTATATACATCTTAAATATTGTTATATACTCTTATATACATCATCTATCATCGCCTATCATCTTGTATATGTTTGGATGGCTCTCGATGAAAACGCTGAGTTTCCTATGCCAGCCTTCGACGTGGCTTGTCGTGCGTGTCCCTTGGGTGTTGGGATGGTTCCATGTTGCCCTCCCATGGTCTCCTTCCACCCAGTAGGAAGTGATGTAGTCGGTGAAGCTGTCAACTGCCTCACCTGGAACCAGACGTCACTAATGTCATCAACAGGAACCAGGGGAAGGGCCATGGCTCTCCGGACCAACAGCCTGACGTCTGTACTGTCAAACCAAATTTCTGCACCTTCTTCCAAACTGTTTATGTACAGTGGAACATGCAGCCCTTTATCTGTGTGTCTGGAAATATGGTAATGAACGCATCTATCCAGTGGATTGAAGTTGCTCTCCTTGTCTTGATACTAAATCTGCTGCCCCTAAATATCAAATACTGACCTCCTCTACCATTTAGAATGAAATGAAGCTTGCCATGGTGAATGAATGCACTAGACCACAGTGCAACGTTACACACATGTATTCGGTTAACATAGTTCACTTAGAGTAAAATTAAAATTAATGTCTATCGGTGTCATGGTGAACTGCACATGGCTACTTAGGTGAGCTAATCCTCCAGCTTGCCGGACCATTCCCACAGGGATGAACAGTATTTGTGCAATCAAGCAAGCATAACTGTTTATCCCCCTAAGCTGCTGGGTGAACGAAAAGACCCCTGTCCATTTGAC